AATGCGAATCGAGGACGATTCCGAACATTTGTCTCCTTTATCAATAAATCTAGTTTGTAATTATAGCTGTGTGTTTCTTCTATTATCAACACGGTATTGTGTTTTCCGTTGGGCATAATATACTATATCTTATGGATATTACCTTGATCATAGTATAATTATCAATAATAGTAATTATACTACCTATACTATATATATAAAGATAATTATAGGAACAATTGGTCATATATAGGATTGTAATAACTTCTCAATTCATATCCAAAGTTGGGTGGTTTTTTAGAGTTTTTCCTGTTTTAATGAACATATCTCGCATGTCATTAGTTGATTAATATATTTATATAGCTTTGTGTGTTCGGGCATGTTGGCGTGGATGTGGTTTTGTTTTGTCTTGGTGGTACACTACACATCAATCAGTTGACATGTGGTTTGATGGGGCGTTTGTTTTTTTGCGTGTGTGTCTTTGCTTGTTCTTTGGCGGCCTTAATCTGTTCTCATCTAGTCGTTTTAAATAAAGAAAGCTCAAGAACAGCCATCTCTCCTTTATCTAAAATATCGTACAACTTTTTACAATTAATGCACATTTCGGTACACCGCTATCTGGGAGATTATTTCGTTTTAGAAACCTCGCTTCTGTCTGCTTTCAACTTTTTACTGTGTCCTCTCGTCCCTCTTGACTTCAGGATTATTAAGTCATCTTTATTTAACTTCACTCGTGTGTGTGTGTTTGTGTATGTGTGTATGTATTTAAACGTAAGTAAACATACATAAATACATATATACTATGGTTTGCGTAAATAAAGATGTGAAAATTTCGATATGAATATTCTAATATTCATTGATGCTTATGTATTTAGCGGATATCTCAGGGCTTTAGACGTGTGTCCCACACACTGAGATCGTCGGCCAAGGTCAGCTGCGGATGTCAGGTCAGGCCCTAATGCTCCCCCTCTACCCCCCCCCCCCGCGTTCAGGCATTTTGGAAACTCGGAAAAGTGTTGAGCCAGGCGGAGGAAAGATACTCGTTTAATAAGGTTCAACGAGTAAAAGTGAATACAAATAGTAAGGATGAACTTTACAGTTGTAAATTTCTTGAAAAAGTTCTTATGAGCTGGCTGGTTACAATTTGGAAAAGATGAGACGGAAATGAAAAGCGACGATGAGCTTCACTGCGACCGACGGTGTCATGGCGTTCCTGCCGGCTCTTTAGGTTCGATTTTACCGAATGTTTGGCCGGCGGGGCAACTGTTAGTCAGTGTTTCGTAATGCATATTGGAATCTTTGGCAGATACACGTATGTAATACAAGTGCTAATCATCCGGAAAAAGTGTAGAGAATTCTAAAGTTTTATACAGTAAAAATGTCATCAAGTTAAACTATCAACACAAACACAAACACAGAAACGGTACACGAAATTGAAAAGGAAAACAGCCACAATAAGAAATTCAAATAAAACGTTACGTTTCGAACTCTTCAGGCATAATTAACCAAACTTGATTCATCCATTTCGGTTAATTATTCGTATTGGAGAGCTCGTGAGGCGTTTGAAATGTAACATTCATTTTCATTTCTCATTGCGGTTGTTTTCCTTTTCATAAACAATCAGTGTTTTTTTTATATATCACACACACACACACGCACACACCACACACACACACACACACACACACACACACACACACACACACACGCACGCACGCACGCAGCGCACACACACAGACACGCACCACAGCACAACACACACACACACACACACACGCACGCACGCACGCAGCACGGGTCACACACGCACCGCGCAACACACACACACACACACACACACACACACGCACACGCACACGCACACACACACACACACACCCACACACACACACACACGCACACGCACAACACCCAATTATATATAATATATACGTAAATATAATATATATATATATAATATATTTATATATACATATATGTATATATATACATATATATATATATTACTATAATAATATATATTAATATATTTATTATTATATATATATATATATATATATGTATGTATATATATATACTATACGTATATAACAAATGTTTATGTAATATATATATATATACATATATATATCATATTATATTAATACTAAGTATATATATATATATAATATATTATATTTCTTATATTATATATATATAGTACTATATATTATAATAGGAATACACACACACACACCACACCATACATACACACACACACACACACACAAAACACATATATATAATATATATATAATATATATATATTTATATATATTATATATATGTTGTGTGTGTGTGGTGTGTGTGTGTGTGTGTGTGTGTGTGTGTGTTGTGTAAATATATATATAATATAAATTATAAATATATATATATATATATAATATATATCATATATTATGTGGGTGTGTGTGTTGTGTGTGTGTGTTGTGTGTGTGTGTTTGTGTGGTGTGTGTGGTGTGTGTGTGTTGTTGTGTCGTTTGTGTGTGTGCGTGTGTGTGGCTACAATACGTTTATAATATACAATAAAATATATAAAAGTAATATAATATATATGCTATAATGAAACTTCTGACATCATCTACCAGTGTGTGTGTGTGTGTGGTATGTGGTGTGGATGCTGTGGGGTGTGTGTGTGTGTGTGTGGTTGTTGGTGTTGTGTGTCGTGTGTGTGGTGTGTGTGTGTGTGTGTGTGTGTGTGTGTGTGTGTGTGTGCGGTGTGTAGTTTTTATTTTTTTATTTGCAATGCCTGAAACTTCAGACATCATCTACAATAATCAGTCAACACCGTAAACCTTTTTTATTACCGTAGCCCTTAAGTTCCTACGTGTAAGTAGATCCGTAGGCAGATATCCGGGAATCGAAAGCTTCGAATTTCTATCAGCTTTCTTCATACATATGTTCGGTAGGAGATTTGATGATAGTACGTTTATTGATTATTCCAATAAATACGGAGAGAAGGAGTGGGGAGTGAGTGAGCGAGGGGAGAGGAGCGCGCCGCGGCTTCCTGGAGGGGGAGGGGGGGCGCTCGTCCTGCGGGTGGGGCAGGACGGGTCCGACGGGGACGGGGATGGGAGGGCGGTAGGCGGGGGAATGGGGGGGGGAATGCGCAGCGGCGGGATGCGCAGGTTGGCGGTGGGGCCGACGCGGCGCATCGTGCACATGCAGATCGATCACTCTGCTGCCTGGCGTTGGACGCGACTGCACCGCCATCTTGAGTCAAGCTGTTGGGCTGTTGGATTAACCTCCTCTCTCTCGCAAGCATGGCAATGGATGCGCAGCAGCAGAACAAGAGACTTGGAGGGCGTCCAAGAAGCGAACCGCAGACAGCCGAAGACAATGAGCGATATGGACAGAATTTCCGTGGTGGGAGAGGTTTGGTGGCCGCGGCAAGCTTCCGTGGAACGGGTGGTTGGGAGTGAGGTGGTGGCTGAGAGGACGAGGTGGTGGCAATGCTCTTCGGCACAGTGCAGACATCGACACCGTGCCCGGAGGTAATCGGCAGCCTAGGACAGAGTAACAATTCGGGCAAGGCGCTCAGGGTGGTGGTGGGGCGGCGGCGGCGTGTGGCGGCGGCGCGGCGGCGCGGGCGTGTGGCGGCGGCGGCGGGCGGGGCGAGAGAGGGGCTACAATGACCGCAAATGAACGTGGTGGCGGCGGAGGATTTTATCGTGGCGGCAGGGGCGGCCGTGGGGGCGGCGGAGGTGGAGGCGGGGCGCGCGGAGGAAATTTCAACCAAGGCGACAGAGACAAGTTCCCTCATGTAAGTACAGTTCCTTAGAGTCGCCCATTGTTCTCGAGGGACGCCGCGCGGCGTCTTGCACGGGCGACCTGGGAGATGCTCTTTTCATTAGTGTTGGGTGGGCGGGATGACGTAGGCTTTGAAAATTTTAGATGTGTGCACTGAGTGACAAATCAAAGCTAGGCTTGCCTGAGGTAGATAACACAACAGTTTCATTTGCCGCCGTAGAACCTTCAAGGTACTGAGTGTTACTGTGAATCCTTAATTTGCTGTTATGGTTGTGTTTTGTAAAATGACAGGATAATTATCCTTGAAGTGACCACACCCCTCAAAGTAGTCCCAGTTACAGTCTTACGGGCACTCCTGGGAATCCACAAACATTGTTGCGTGAACCATGAGAACTACCTTTCCCATGGTATTGTCCTGAGAGTTCCGCTTGATTGCAGTTTCCCTTTATTTTGGGAAAATTTTTCCTCAGTTGTCCAATATGCAGTTATATCAGTAATTGGTGTATATAAACCATTTAGCAGTGACTATAAGGCCATTACAGCTTATACTATGTTATATCCTATTCTATTTCTTCTGCTTTATTACGTGGCAGTGTCCATTTCCCTCTATATTTTATTTGATAATTTCTTTTGTATATTTCATGTCCAGGTCAGTATGCGTAACAGGAACATTTGAAACAATTTTGATATTTATCTGCATGAAATCCACTGATTTTAATGATTGTTGATGTCGTTTCTTGTGCAGATGCTTTAAGGAGATCTAAGTACTACTTCCATCAACAATCTTAATTTGTTAGTCCCGTTAGCAGGGGAGGGCATGAAGTATATCAGGGAAATTATGGGGTAAAACAAGCTTAAATAAGAAGAATAACGATCAAAAATGCATAAAACTAGCACAAAAAGCGCTTAAAATCGGTCAGTGAAACTCTACGGATGTTACCGCCATCTTTGAAAGTTTACGGACTGACGCGAAATAAATCAAAAACTCTACGGAACCAACCCACATTTCGCGAAAAAATATACGGGAATTCACACGT